AACTTAACACTATAACACATTTATGTGTGTGTCAGTGTGTGTGTGTGTGTGTGTAGTGCATTTCTTATGGGACTTTAAACTTAACACTATAACATTTACATTTACATTTAGTCATTTAGCAGACACTTTTATCCAAAGCGACTTACAAATGAGGACAATAAAAGCAGTCAAAACTAATTAATAACAAATTGCTGTGTGTGTCAGTGTATGACCATTTTTAATGAACTGTTACAACTATCCCCACCCCAAGCAGCCATTACGTAGCTAACTCTTTTAGCATGTGGGTTTGAAGTTAGCATTAATGTCTAGCATCAAATTAAACTAGAGAAATGACTACTTAAGAATATGTAAGTCAAAAAAATGTATCTACATTACAATGAATGCCAGGCAAAAAAGACACATGCCACTTCTCCTGTTAGCTCAAAATGGAGATGGGAGTGTATGATATGGATGACATCACCATAGGTTGTTTCTGATTGGTCAAACTGACAGAGTTACAACTAACCCCATGTTACAACACTCCCCGTTCTCCCCTATATATATATATATATATATATATATATATATATAGACACATGTGGGCGGCTTCTTCATTAGGGCAACACACCACCAACAATGTGAAAGGGAGGGATTTATTTTTCTATCACATTCAACCACAGCCATCACTGTTCTAGACTGTTTGTTCTGGATATATAGTCCAATCATCATCAAGTCACGTTCTGTGGAGTACCGCCCCTTTACGGGCGATTTCACTCTGGCCGAGAATCGCCCCGAGTGTTCTCATAGGCCCTGTCCCAAATGGCACACTTCATGTGCACTTTTGGACGTTAAGTCCATGAGACCGTAGAAAATATAGAAAATATATACATTTGACTCTTGAGTCAGGAGGGGCAAGAAAAAAAACAAAAACAAAAATATTTTCCGGATGTAAGCATTAAAACAATGTCCTACTGTATTGCAACACATCAAAACAGGCAATACAGCACAGTCAAGAATAAAGAGGTTGCCAAAGTTTACTAAACTGTGGACTAGCTTTGACTCTTGCTGCTGATTTGAATGCCGATGCTTTCTGTTTTAAGTGTCAGTTGACGGCCTTTCATTTTTAACCAGAAATGTGCACGCTGCTTTTCTGATGTTCATTGAAATGTTCCATGCCTTTTTCCAGTGTCACTTGAAATTTGTCCTTTTTGAATCGTTGTTACCGAAGGTGAGACACATGAAGAAAAAATAAACAATCAGTTGTGGGACTATATTCTGTCATAAATCGCATACCATTCATTCCTGAACTTTCTACCGTCCGCTACTGGAAATTAAATTACTGGTTGATATGTCCCGGTCTCAATATATATATATATATATATATATATATATATATATATATATATATATATATATATATGAGAGGGCGTGAGG